AGTGGATGGTAATAATCAGTCAGTGAACCAAGCTATCTCTGTTGCTAAATCTGACAAGGGATCTTGTATGATTTTGATGTGTTGCGTATTGTTGGAGGAGAGCCTTAAAGTGGTAGGTTATTCTACTACATCAAATGTGCTTTTCTATAGAATAAAGGGGCAGCTAGGTGGTGCAGTGGATAGAGCACAGGTCCTGAAGTCAGGAGGAACTGAGTTCAAATCCGGGATCAGGCCAAAAACTTGACATGTACTAGCTGTGTGACCTTGGGCAAATCACTTAACCCTGATTGCCTCACTAAAAAAAGAAAAGAAAGAAAACAAAAGAATAAATATAATAGGATCTCATATTCAAAACTTTTTTAAATAAACCATGGGACCAAAAACATATCATCTGCCATAGAAGAATGTTGTTTAGGAAAGCCTGTCTGTTAAGTTCTCATATCTTCATCAAGGAAACTCTCTCTGGGTGTATTATGTATAAAACAAAAGGGTCAGTTAGACTAGATGCTTTCTAAGTTATCTTTTAACTTTGAATACTATGATTTTATGATACTAAGAACTACCCAAGGCTCACCTCACTAGCTATGAGCTTTAAAAATTTTGGTAATTAAAAAATTCATATAACATTCAATTCTAAATGCATCATTTCCTACTACTCTCTCAAAGAATAGGAAAGATTTAAAAAGCACTCCAACGTAACTGCCGACATATATTAACTGAATCTAACAACAAGTTCAGGCTTTCACCTCTTCAAAGAATGGAGGAAAGTCCATTTTCTCATTTTTTCTTTGCAGACAAGCTTGTTCACTATAACTTCACTGGGTTGATTTTCACTTATCTTTTTATTGTTTTTAATATTTCCATTTATATTGTCATAGTCATTGCATATGTTGTTTTCCTCAGTCTACCAATTTTTGTCTTCCCATTGTTTTCTGAATTCTTCATATTCATCATTTCTTAGATTGCAATAAATTCCTAGACTTTCATAACTATATGGAAGCAGTGATGACAATTCATCTTAAAATATTTTAACCACTTCAGTAGTTCCTCAGATACATACCAGCTGTGTGACTCAGGGCTAGCTAGTCATTTATCCTCTGTATGCCTGAGTTTCCTCATCTGTGAAACTGAGATAATAATAGCACTCACCTCCCAGGGTTGGTGTGAAGATCAAATAAGGTAGTAATCATAAAGCACTGGTACATAGTTGACACTATATAAATATTAGCTATTTTGTTATTATTTTTAAAAGAGCCAAATCTACTGTAACCCTTACAGTATCAGTGCTAAATTCTACTTGCTTATCATTATCTCTCATCATGTAATCTCACCATGTCTATCTAATCTTATTTCATACCATTTTCTCAAATTTGCTTTTCTAGTAGTTGATGTTAATTGTGAGAACAAATCCCAAAATCTGGGGAAAAAAAAGTTTTAGAAAGAATTTTATTAGATTATTTGGCAAAGGAGAGAGATGGAAAAGGTGAAGCTCCTTCCTTGAATCTTTGTGAAGTTACATCATATTGAGTTTGGACAGCAGGGTAAGGACATGGTCTGACTGGTCCCACATAGGCTGTAGGCAGTTTCCAGAAAAGGGCAGTTTGGGATATATGTCAGCTGGTAAGTATAAACACTCAATCCAATATAGGAAATCAAAAAACACAAGCTCCCAGTGTTCCCAAAACATGGCTTGAACAGAGCCAAAACAAGCACTGTGTGGGGGTTGGGTGTGGATGTAGAAAATCTAAGCCTTCCTTAAAACTGCCCATTTCCCTCGAGCATCTCTGATCTCTATTATAATCTTTTGGGTTAGACAATTTTCTAGACACATAAAACTAGGTTCTGACAATGTAATAATTAATAGGAATTCTGAAAAACAAAAATTTCTCACATTGGTCTAGTTTCTTCTTTTTCTTTATGTTCACTTTTACTTTTTTAGACATGCAGGTGTCATAGTGGATAGAATACTGGACTTGGAGTCAGGAAAACCTGAATTTGAATCTTGCCTCTGACACTATCTGTGCAATTGTGGGCAAGTTACTTAACCTAAGCCAAGTGTCCTTATCTGTTAAATGAGGACAATAATAGTACCTACCTCACAGCACTGTTTTTAGGATCAAATGAGATACACTATTAAATGTTAGCTATTATTTCCAACACCCAATTCAGCCCTCAGTTATATATTGTCCTATTACGTGTGCTAATTTTTTCATGTCTGTTGTTTTTTCTTCCTATAAAGATTATAAGCTCTTTGAGGGTAGAGACCAAGCTATTCTTTCTTTGTATATACCTCACCTACCAGAGAGATATGCCTAATACTTTCTGATTGATGTGATAACACCATGTGATCAGAGAACCTAAGCATGCCTATGAAGAACAAAGAGGCTGACATATTATACAGTATACAGTAGGAAATTTTTTTTTAAAAAGCACTTATTGAATTAAATTGAATACTGACCAAACCCAGGATCTATACATTCTTTCACTGATTGAGCCACCAAGGGGTTTATTATAGAAAAGTACCGTAGACCTTCTTGATGTTAATCTAAAACTTTAGGCATGATTCTCTTGATAAATTGTTATGATTATCCTGTGCACTGATTTGAAACTTTCCTGAAGTCCATTGGTGCTAACATTTGGTTATTGAACCTGATTTTGCATCTTCATTGATAGCATATGTATTTCAATTTCATTATACTAGAAAAGTACTCTGAAGCGTATCCATATCAACATTTTTATTAAAGCATAGAATTTTCTTCCCATAGTGACTACACAATATATTCTTCTGTAAAGCTAAAAAATAGTTACTAATTACTATTTTTGGAACTATAGTCATGCAATAGAGTTAATCCTTCCTCATACCAATTAAACTATAGCTATTTTGTTTTTTTTCTTGTATTAGATCAGCAATAATCAGCAAGACCATTGAAAGTAAAGCCAGAACACACAATTACTAGCAGTTTATAGTAACAATAAAAGATACCATTTTTTAAAAAAGATACCATTTTTATAGTGCTTTATTTTTTGCAAAGGGCCTTACACATAATATCTCAACTGATCCTTACAATAATCTTGTGAAATAGGTGCTACTACTATTAACCTTATTTAACAAATGAGAAAGCTGAGGCTTAGAAAGAGGTCAAAGGACTTGCCCAGGATCACATAGCTAGAGAGTATCTAAGGTTGGCTTTTAATTCAAGCCTCTGCCCCCACGTCCAATGCTATATATCTATTATGTCAACTTGCTACAAATCTCACAGCTACTATAGTACATTTTCAAACTGTTTAGTATTTCAAATTCAGAAAATAGAATGACTTCTATAAGAAAAAAAATGCCAGAATCTGAATTGTGACTATGAAGTAACAAGGCAGAGAGTCATCTCCTTCTTCTATAGGTGTATCTTTACATCATTCAAGATAAAATGATTATTATCTTCCTAGTTGACTTATAGTTTTCTAGTTTCTAAAATTGCATGCTGTAATAGTGTTCATTACAGTAGGAACACAGTGGCAGCAAAAATTATATAGCTAGAAATTTCTTATTGGCTTTACCAATAGGGAGGAATTGTCTGTCTGATGAGCTCAAATAAAGAACAACAACAAAAAGACGCTGTATGACACAAGCTATGTATGTCATCTCTGAGTTAGCATAACTATTCTACCTTTATATGAGCATGCTTGCGTGCCTCTTCATTTATAAAATGAATGACATTAAAATTATATGTGTAAGCAACTTTTTTTAAATGAACATAGCCAAATATGCCTTTATTGTTAAATACATGATGAAAGGATAAATACACAAGATGTAATTGTTAATTACAAATATTGGATCCTACTGAACGGCTTTTTAGTATGACTTCATGATGAATTTTTAAATCTATGTGTGTTTTATGCATGATGCAAGAAAATAAAATGAAATTGATTGTCAGGAGAGTATACCATGACTCTGTACATCTCTGATTCACTGTTGGATAAAGAGGCTTGCCCCATTGAAACACTGGTCAGCCCAATTGCTCTCTAAAATAATTCTAAAGTAGTGATATTTCAAGATGCTCCCTATGTTTGACCACTGCATCATCATGATTTACATCTGAAAAAATTTGTGCTGGTCCCAATTTAGTACTAAATTGGAAGACTACGAAAGATCACTTGGTTTCCATTTGGATGCTGGTATTGATTATTGGAGGAAGTAGACAAGGTAACCAAAAGTTGTTACAGGATACATGCCTAAGTTTCTTTAAACCTCACAACATCAAGGTTACACCAGTCAAGGAGCTGATAACCTCAGTAATTAATCAAATTCTGCAATCAACATATTGCCTAAATTCCAACAAAAAAAATGGTGGCAGTAACCCATATACATGCAGTCTGTGATAATTTCTCCACCTTCATCCAAACAGTTACTGTACCCTCCATAACTCTTGTCAAAGTTTCTCCACCATATCCCAGCCCTCTGCAAAAAGAAGTGTGGGGGGCAGCTAGGTGCTGCAGTGGATACAGCACCAGGCCCGGATTCAGGGGGACCTGAGTTCAAATCGGGCCTCAGACACATATTACTAGCTGTGTGACCCTGGGCAAGTCATTTACCACTATTGCCTAACAAAAAAAAAAGAAGGAAAGAAGTGTGAAAAGTGTGTGTGACCTGGACAGTTTTCACTGTGATGGCAAGCACCGGTGGTGTACCTGGAAGGCACATATGCTCAGAACTCACTGTATATCACTTTTATACCCAGAAATACATTTTTGCCTCTTATTTTAGGGAACTCTTCAGTTACAAGAAATGACAATAAAATATAACTCGGGTTTCCTGGTATAAAAATTCCTTTCCTGTGAGAAGGATTAATGATAAATAAATATGGTCACGTTTTCCAGAAGTTACTGAATTACCGATTGCTGATAACAAAGTGTGACTGTGATCTTCAATGTAATCTAATTCATTTCAAGCATCTATTCATGACAGATATTGCATTTTCTTTAAGTTTGTGCATTACCTATTCCAGCTAAAACGCAAGTTATGGGAGAAATCAAGATTGCCCTGAAAAAGGAAATGAAAACAGATGGAGAACAGCTAATAGTTGAGATCCTTCAGTGCAGAAACATCACCTACAAATTTAAATCTCCTGATCATTTACCAGGTATATATTTTATATTAAACAGGTCAACATATCAAAAAGAACATTTGAGGACATTGGATATGACATCTCAATGAAAACTAAATTTAGTTAAAATTTAAATTAGTTGAGTTTAAACCAAACATATTGCTATTGCTGAATTTATTAATATTTTAAAGCATATAGACTGATACATACCACAAATAAAAATCTGTTTTCTGAGAAAGTTGGTGTAACTTACTGTAATACCCAAGTTGTCTGATGTAAATTGTAATGAGATTATAGATTTCATGCAGAATTCAGGCAAGATGCAGTATAAAATTTTAATTCCTCAATTAGATAATGGAAAGTTTGTAGCGGTAGGTATTATAGTAGAAAGCAATCTGGACAGGGAGTTGGGAGAGATTGGAGTTCAAATATTGCCTCTGACATTTACTAGTTGTGTGACCATGAACAAATCCTTTAATCTCTCAAACCTCAGTTTCCTTATCAGTAAAATAGGAATAGTGATAGTATTATTTATCTCCTAGGGTTACTGTGAAGATCAAATAAGAAAATTATTTGCACAGCTTAAAGTACTATTTTTAAAAAAATGTTCCTTAGTATTATTGGTTGAATGGGACAGCAAATCTAACAAGCTGAATTCTTATTGGCAGATTTGTATGTGAAGCTGTATGTGGTCAACATTTCTACCCAAAAAAGAGTGATCAAGAAAAAGACAAGAGTATGTAGGCATGATCGAGAGCCTTCATTCAATGAAACATTTAGGTTTAGCCTGAGTCCTGCTGGGCATTCTCTTCAGGTAATTCTCTACAATTTCTTTAGTTTTTTTTTTTAATGATTTTGTCTTTTATTTTTTAAAAAATAGTTTTATTATATCTTCACATCTATTGAGTTCTGGTAAATATTTCACGGCTGGCTCTCTGAAAAAAAAAATGTGCCCAGGAAACATTTTAAAGTATAATATATTTTAAAATTTTCTCTGTCATTTTCTTAAGTCTGACAATCAACAGAACAGTAACTCAGACTCTGACTTGTAGCATTTGCTGATTTCCAAGGTATAATGCTCACACTGAAAATGTAATAATGTGTTCTCAGGAGCCTGTATTGCCTGTCAGACCTTGAGCAAGTTATTTATCCTCTCACCATACCTTTATTTCTTCATTTTTATTTAACCTAGCATGTGAGCAGGTTGCTTAATATGGAGCCCCCACCATGTGGGTGGTGTAGCCAATCAGAGGAGGTTCAAATGTCTGGGGATTCAGATGGCTAAAACTAGGCATGCCCAAAAGCTGAGTTTCATATAAAAGTTACTAGAATACCTTAAAGGTTTTCCTAGTCTTAAATTTAAAATCCCATGATCTCATTTTTATACTATTTAGTATTTATTCTTTATAAACTTATACAGAGAATCACAGAATTTCAGAGTCAAAAAGGACCCCAGGAGTCATTGAGTCTAACCTATATAACCAAAAGAATTCCTGAAATAACATGCCTGTTACACTATAGCATATTTGTTGTCTCCTCTGACAGAATGTAAATTTTTGAAAATTGGAGGGTTTTTTGTTTTTGTTTTGTTTTTAATTTAATACAATGCTTGTCACATGGCAGGTATGCTGATTGATTGATTGATTGGTAAATTGATCTCGTTATTAATGGTAAGCTGCTCAAAACCTTTCATCAAAGCAAATTTCTCTTCCAATTATTTTCAGCATAATAAATAGGCTTTGCTTGAGACAAAGGTTTGAGACATAAACTTGACTGAAGTCTTTTAATTTTCTAGTGGCAATAGAAAGTGTTTCAAGCTGAATGTGACATCAGTGCCATTTCCACTAATTATCATTTTTCAATCTTTTAAATTTTTTGACATCCCTGTGACATTTGAAAATGTGGACCACTTGATCCTTCTTCTCACTGTATGTTTCCTTATTCTAAATCAACAAATTCTCAGTTATTCTCTTACCTCTCTTACAGTTTCTTTTTGGGCTCTCTGCTAATCCCTCGGCCTCTTTCTCATCTCTTAAATTTAATGCCATCCAACATACTATGCTTGGCCTTTAAGTATATGCTTTCCTTAAACATAACTCTTGCTGGCATGTGAAATGAGCACAGTAGTTCAGTAGTATGAACATTCTTTGGCATTTCCCTTCTTTAGGACTTAAAAGGACATAAACTGATCTTTCACAATCTAGTGGCCACTATTGAGTTTTCCAAACATGCTGGCATATTTAGTGCAGCACTTCAACAACGTTGTCTTTTGGCGTTTTTAATAGTTCAAATGGAATTCTGTCACCTCCACTAGCCTGTAGGCAATGTTTCCTAAGACCCACTTGAATTCGTTCTCCAAGGGTGTCTGGCTCTTGATCAGTAAGGTGGTTTTCAAAGAGGCAGAGGAACTAAAGACCAAATTGTTAATATTCACTGGATTGTTGAGAAAATAAGGGAGTTTCAGAAAAAACATTGACTTGTGCTTCATTGACTACACTAAGGCCTTTGACAGTGTGGATCACAACAAGATGTGGCAAGTCATCAAAGAGATGGAAATACCAGATCATCTTACTTGTCTCCTGAGGAACCTGTATGTGGGTCAAGAAACAACAGTTAGAACTGAGTATGCAACAGCTGATTGGTTTAAAACTGGAAAAGAAGTACAACAGGGTTGTATATTGTCATCTTATTTATTTAACTTATATGCAGAGTGTATCATGCAAAATGCCAGGCTGGATGAATCAAAAATTGGAATTAAGGGTGCTGGGAGAAACATCAACAATCTCAGACATGCAAATGATACCACTCTGGCTGCAGAAAGTGAAAAATTAATAAGCCTCTTGATGAGGGTGAAAGAAGAGAGTGTAAAAGCTGGCTTGGAGCTTAACATAAAAAAAAAAAACCTGAGATCTTGGCAACTGGTCCAATCACTGCCTGGCAAATAGAGAGAGAAGAAATGGAAGGGGTGTCAGATTTTATATTCTTGGGCTCAAAGATCCCTACAGATGGCAACTTCAGTCATGAAATTAAAATATGCTTGCTCCTTGGAAAGAAAACTATGACAAATCTGGATGTCACCTTGATCCATATAATCAAAGCTATGTTTTTTTCGTAGCAGTGTATGGAATTGGACTATAAGAAAAGCTGAGCACTGCAGAATCAATGCTTTCTAATAGTGGTGCTTGGAGAAGACTTTTGAGAGTCCCTTGGACAGCAAGAAAATTGAATCAGTCAATACTTAAGGAAATTAATTCAGGCTATTCACTGGAAGGTCAAATATTGAAACTGAAGCTTAAATACTTTGGCCACATAATGAGAAGACTCAACTCATGGGAAAAGACCTTGATGTTGGGAAAGATTGAAGGCAAAAGGATAAAGGGATGGCAGAGAATGAGATGGATTGTTTCATGGAAACAATGAACATGAATTTGGACGGACTTTGAGAGATAATAGAAAGTAGAAGGGCCTGGTGTATTATGGTCCATGGGGTCACAAAGAGTCAGATATGGCTGAACAACTAAACAACAACACTCTTTCCCTGGGCGTTCTCACAGTTTAACTATTACCTCCAAGAAGATAATTATTATCAATTCAGCCCTGAGCTCCTAGCCCTCAGGTACTACTACCTATTATGTATTGTAGGCAAGTCCTGCTGGGATTTCAAAGTCAATATGTATAAAATAAACTTCTTATGATTCCTGCACAACCATGCTCTGACTTAACTACTGTTTTTCAGTGCCAACATCAGTTAAGTCTTGTCAGAGTTGTGCAACATCTCCTCACCTCCATTCTTTCTTCTTTATTCTTGTGACTACCCAAGAGCAGGTCATTGCTTCTCTCCTAGTTTCTCTACAATCTGCTAAATTATCTTCCTGCACCTTTCAATCTACCCTTTACACCAGTGCCAGACTTAAGTACTGCATGACCTGATGGAGTCATTCTGCTCAAAATCCTTGAATGCAACATTATCATATGCCACATAAAAGTCAGATTGTGCCCAGAACTATCAGTTCAATTTGACCTTGCCAGCCTTTTTGAATATTTTAGAGTTTGAGTGTAGTATTCCTGTCAAATCATAACATATAAGTCCTAAGGTGAGCTCGGCCAGGGCACAAGTTCAAAATTTCTCTTGATCATGATTTTTACTTTGCCAATGGGCTTGATGAAGGGAATTCACTATGTTTAGGATCTTTGTAGTGACAAGATGTCAAAAATATTACTCTCCCCCTCCATCTATTCTTTTGCCAGTCAGATTGGACTACTTGTTCTTGGAATCCCCTTTCTCCACCTCTTACCTATTGAAATCTTAACTTTCCTTTGTAATCCAAATCAAATTCTACCTCCTCCGGGATGTCTTCTCTGATCTACCAGTTGATTGATCGTGATCTTGTTTCACTCAGATATCACACAGAACTGTATTTGTACCTTTCTAATACAATTAGTTTTCATTTAGTATTATAGTTTATTCATATTTGTAACTTATTCTCCTACTGAATTGTAAGTTCTATGATTGTGTCCTCTGTGAACTTTATATACTGCCCACCCCAAGTCCCAAGAAGTCTACAATGCAACCCTTGAACAGAAATAATTTATACTTAATAAACTTTTTGACCAAAATAATTTAAACTTCAAGAGTGAATGACTTAGCCCACCTCATCAATCCTATCAGGGTACCAATTTCACCCAAATAAATCTCTGCCTGGTGGGATTCTGGCTGTGTTAGGAAGAAATTTTTTTTCATAGTGACTTTTAACCCAAACTACAGTTTTATTCCACTTATATTTAAAAGTGGTCTTGAAAGGCAAGAAGGAAAAGATGTCTTTGTTACTCCTATCAGCCTTTCCCTAACACAGAGAAACCAAGACTCTACTTCCTTCTCTCCCTCCTCAGCTTTTTGTATAAAATATAAGACTGATCCCTCTGGTCTAATTTTTAAATGTCAATAAGGGAGATGCCTCCTACTATAGAAGGAAAGGGATATCATTCCTTAATCTAAGCATGATAACAAGATTCCATATCTACTTTTTCTCGACTCTCAGAAATGAGGGTACGCAAATCTTTCAGCTAGTACAGCAAGTAATTTAGCAACTAGTACCTTAACTAGTACCTAGCACCCCTCAGTAAAGAAGTCCTGAGATCTACTTGACTCAATCTTCCCTGAGGTGCAAATCCAGAGGTAATTCTCAAAGTAAGTCTCTGCTTCATACTTATAACTACCTCCATCTCTTCCATCTGATCCCAGATATGTTACCCCTCCCCCAATGCCCCTTACAACTCTAACCAATCCCAATATTTCTATGTTCTCATGAAGGTTGAAATATGACTCACTGAGTGATGTTGCCCTCAACCCTTTCTTCTTAGGATTATGCTAAAGATGAAACCTATACCAGGACCCAACTGAAAAATAAAGTAACCCAGCCCTAGTCTTACTATAGTCTCATAATACCTAGTACAGTGTCTTATAAATATTAGGAAGTTAATAAGTATTCAATGAGCTTTTAAGGATTAGTGGGTTTTTGATAGATAAAGGAGGCAGCTAGGTGGCACAGAGGATAGAGCACCAGGTCTGGAGTCAGGAAGACTCATCTTCCTGAGTTCAAATTCAGTCTCAGATGCTTACTAACTGTGGGACTCTGGGAAATTCACATAACCCTGTTTGCCTCAGTTCTCTCATTTGTAAAATGAATTGGAGAAGAAAATGCAAAGCACTCCAGCATCTTCATCAAGAAACCCCAAGCAGGCTCACAAAGAGTTGGACGTGACTGAAAATGACTGAACAACAAAAATAATGATAGATAATGGGGACATTGGAGGTCATGTCAAGCCAATGCTACACATTCAGCTGAGATACAGTGGCACCAATAAGTAAGAAATGCTCACTGTATAGTTTAATTTGAGTGTAAGATTTATGTTGGGGGGCAGGAGCTGATAACTAAGAGAAAATCTGCAAAGAGCTTAAATTAGTGTGTGTGAAATCCCAGAAGATTAAAATACCAAATAGCATTATCTAGTTTTGCAAAATTGGTTCTGCTTCATTCTTCTAGCATTAAAATATTTTAGTTGATTTCAGATTGCATGATCTGGGACCAAAACATTTGGCAAAGTAGCCTCTACATTGGTTTTAATACATCAGTTTTAATCTAAGCATACAGATTTCATGTTTGGAATGGTCAGAACCTCAAGGATGTACAGTTTGGTTCAAGAAATATTAAGAAATATTAAAGTTCATTTATAGCATGAAAGTATTCTGAGGATTTCTTAGTCATTGTTAATTCTTCCCTGCCCCCTTTACTTCTTTGCATTTTTCTCCCACAGTGAGAAAAAAAAGTCTTTAAAATGACTTGCTTATAGTAAGTGCTAAATTATTTACTGAATTGACATGAATGCTAAAGAATGAGATAAAGTAAATTTGACTGGTTTTGTCTTCTAGATTTTGCTTGTCTCCAATGGAGGGAAGTTTATGAAAAAGACACTGATTGGTGAAGCTTATATCTGGCTTGACAAAGTGGATTTAAGGAAAAGAATAGTAAACTGGCACAAGCTCTTGGTCAGTCCTACTCAAACACACTGAAGAGAGTCTGCTTAGGCTTCAGAACCTTACAGACCATTATCTTCTATAAAGAGCATCAAATCAATTCCATGGATTGATACTATTGTGTTTAGTTAGGCTTTCAGAGGTGGAGAAAAAAAAAAGACAAGTGGGAAGATCAGATGATGGGCCTGCAACCTTGTAAACTTGCTGTTGATAAAGTCAGCAACAAGCTCTGGGATCCCAAATAAGAGGATGCACGATTTAAAGAAAAGAGGGCTTGTTGATATTGGACTTCTCATGGTTGCCAAGGGCAACTGTGAAAGAAGTTGAGTGCTAAAGGCAGATGGAATTACTTGGAGCTCTGCTGAAGCTGGAAGTGGTGGTTCAAAGATCAATATGGTTTGCAACGTAACAAAATGATGTGTTTTGTTCTTTTTTTATGCAAAAGCATCTAAGGTGAAAGCAAAGGACTGACTTCATAAATCTCACTTTTTAAAAGTGTAAAACTAGTTCCTCTGCACCTTAGGCTCTCTGATTATTCACTATGGTAAGACTGCAGGATTGATTCATCCTGATTTGTTTGCAGTTATGGCAGAGATGTGGATTTTATTTTTTCCGAATTAAAAAAAAATATGCCTTGGAGCACAAGCTCAAAGGGGATTTCATGGTGTAAAGTACCATCCTTGAAACCCATATGATGAAAGCACATTTTTGGTATAGGTTAACATGATATATACTGAAGATAACCCAGGGTAGAACTTAAGTGGAATACAAAAAAGGTAAATGCCATTTATTGTACAAATGAAGCTGCTATCCTGGAAGACCAGACATAAGTGACTTGGCAGGGAAGAATTTTTGACTCAAAACCAAAATAATCCCAGGGACCTATCATAAAAATGTAAAAGATTCTTTATTTTCCCATAATTTAGCCTCTGGAGAAGACTATCTGAATGATACAGGCTATATGTACCAAAGGACATAGATTTAACTTGTCTTGTATGAACTAGGAAGCATGAAAGCCTATTCTTTGTGGAACTGCAAATAAATTCATTATCCTATAGATTTAATTTCTATTGAGTGATGTATTAGGAGACAAAGATATTTCCCTCAAATAAATTTTATATTAGTCTCTTTGTAGTGGTTAATTAAATTGGGATGAGCTCTTATGTAATTAAATCTTTCTTTAACTATATATGTATATAGCATGAAAATCCTTACACCTTAGGCCCACCTTTTCATTGTGCTTCTGCTCCCCAACACCTTCCCTCCCTCACCCCCTCACACTTCATCTTAGTCAAATTCATAATGGGAAACTTGGGAGACTGTATAGTGTGACTATTGAAAACACCAAGTTTAAAAATTTTATTCTGTCCGAGTAAGGATGTTGACACCAGAATATGATAATTCATTTCTTTAAATATTGAACAAAACAGTCCAAATCTAAGATATTGAAATGAGGATGTATTCACCATGCAATAAAAATTATTGATGAGAAACTCACAAGGGTGGCAGTATACCCTAGTGGAAAATGGTCTAGTACTAGAACTCAGGAAACCTGGGTTTTAGTCTCAGCTCTGCCAATGATTCCCTGTCTAATCTTCAGCAAGTCACTAAACTTCTTTGTGTGCCCATGTCATCTATAAAATTGGGATCTTATTATCTTCCCTTCCTACCTCACAGGGTTGTTGTGAGGATAAAAGTAGGTCATATATGTAAAGCACTTTGCACAATATAAAGCACTATTCAAATGTAAGGAATAAGAGTTATCAAACATGTTGAGTCTCTCAATCCAAGAAGGAATAAAAGCCTTCTTCCCCCAAATAACCACCTTCACATTGGATAAAAAGAAGGGGAAACAAGTCAGCTCCAAATTTCATTTTACATATAACCTGGAAAATACTTTTCCGAAAGTATTATTTTTCCTTTATCCATTTGGAAAAAAAAAGTGAGGGAGTAAAACGAAAATATATACAAATAGGATATGCAAAGTTGAAGCCAAATGAACTACTCTATTCTTAAATCTTATTCCACTCTCACTTTGTCCCTAAAACAAAATTTAAGGGCTAAGCAACTCAGTCTAAATTTGTTGCTTTAAAACCGCTGCTGTAATCCAGACTAAATATTCCTCTGGGGAGAGGAAGTAGTATAGTTCTCTCATATGAATACATATTTCAGATTTAGTTTTGTCTGTAGTTAGTGTTAACTAGAGGTCTTGATCCTGCATGGACCATCAAAATAACTAGAAACCATTCATTGCAACACACCTTATTTGCATTGATAGAATAAGGATTTTATCTCCAGTTGTCCTCCAGCCCTATTTGGTAGGTTGTCATATCATCTCCATCCAATAAAATCCCTCCACCTTCCAGCCCACAAAAAAAAAAAAACAAACTCTACTTTTAGTTACCATTGAAATAGGGATAAGATGAGAGCATTTGGAAGATCAAACCACTGACAATTTTGATCTTGCAAGAATTTTATTTTTTTGGTGACAGCAAGTCCTGCTGGTGGTTGCTATGGAAATTTCCGGCAGGAGTTACTGTGATATGGGAGACTATAATCAGCATTCTTTATTTGGGAAAAGTAGCCCAATAAGCTTTTCATCTGACACAAAATGTCACTGCTAGTTGCCCTTAAAGATAAACTGTCTAATAGGACACTGGTTAACTTTGGCACTCTCTCTTAATCACTGGTATAATCCAATCATCTTTAATGCTTGGTTCTCATGAATACAAGATGACCAGTCATTTGGCTTCAGAATCCAATCTCCCTTAGACCAACAAAACAGTAAAGATTATCAAGCAAAGGGATGTCCCTTCATCCTGACCTGATCAAGTGTATTAAAATTATTTTCATTCTGGGTGGCCTATCAGTTCCTGGAGACTAGTAGCAATTAAGTCATTGAGTACATTCAGTGACAGGCCTCATCTTGTATGGGTGTGCACCAGTACCCATTCAGAGGGTGTAAGATGCTTCCAAAGAGTGCCAAAGTTGCAGCTGACCAAAATCCTTAGGTTCTGGAATTATTCTATGCAACACTGATTAATATGTGAATGCATTTCTTCTGAATGATGTTAACAACCCTTCATAAAACAGAACAATTTCATTTTAAAATTTAAAACAGGGCTATTGGTATTTTTACTTTTTTGTATATATCACAGCATGTTTTTCCAATTCTACTTAATTATTCCTCCACTGGCTTCTTAGTTACTACAGAGCTTGTGATCTCTGATTAACCGATTTTTATTAATCTAACTAATATACTTCTACAACATTTGCCTGAATAAGTACATCTTTCAAGTTCTTCAAAGGAATTTTGATTTTTCCCACAAATTCACTGAATCATCAAATAATGAGGTGGTTCCTTGGTTTAAGATCTGGTGCAATGAAAACATGCTGAAATCTGAGCAAAAGCACAGTGTGAGTGTTTACAAAAGACAAGGCTTCATAATGTAGTCTTCACAAATATGGATGGGGATAGAAGCAGGACATTACTAAGAATATCTACTTATTTGCCATTTCACAGTTTAAGGAGACAGGATCCAGGAGCAGAATAAAGGGATATAGGGCCTGCTTCTTAATATTACCCATATTTTTTAATCAAACTAACTTATCAAATCCATATTTCAAGACATAAGTGAAGTAAGTTTTGTAGATCACACATACACATCTTGAAATGGTCATTTTGTGGGAGTAATGTAGCTGGTAACCAGCTGATATGGATTCTTACTATAGGAGTGATGGTGGGAGTGGGCGTGATGAGAGTAGTAAGTAAGCATCTATACTATAAAAAAAGCTATCGTGCCCAATTTAATAGAAATTATTTGATCAATGTTTAGTTTCATGAAGATATCATAAAGATGTTTATAGTATTTTTTTATTATTTAAATCATACTTAATATTTTAAAGGACTTATTTTCATTGCTACAGTGTCTATTATCCCAAATTCTGCCAACTATATCTATACATGTATATACACCTATGCCTAACAGAAGTGAATTGAAACTATGTGACTGAACTTCGAACTGAAATGAAAAGGAGAGAGAATGTTCAATGCATACAAATCAGACGATCCAGTTGTTTCTTTCAAATGATTGACTGCCTTTGCTAAAAGACTAGAGTGAATGAGTAAAATGGATAATCTCTCTAAGTTAGAGTATACATTTTAATGTTTTCTGTATGTTACATTTTATTCGTTAAAAAAAAAAGTTACCTGGGGAACTCAAAATCATTTAAAAATCCTTAAATAATATTAGGTCTTGAGAGAGCAGTTTCTTAATTTGTTACACTGTATATAACTATACGTTTTGTAAAACAGACAAGTTTGGACTATTAATTTCACCCAGCATTCAGCATGTGAATGTGAATATTATTTGACTGTGTCTGTATATCTGTTCAGTGATGTGCTCAGGTGCTACCATGATGAATAGTGTGTGTGCTAATATCTTATAATAAAAAAGTATACAGCATTCCAGCTGTCCAAAAAAATTTTTAAAATTTAAAAAAAATTATCCTTGAAAAAAATGTCATGTTTCTAAATTGAATGTTGCATGCAGTGGTGGTGATTTGATATCTTCTTTTCCTTTTTTAAATTTTACTTCTGAGATCTCTCTGGAAAAAAACAACAAAAACATCAAAAAGCCTTGTTCTAAAAGTTGTATAAATTGAAATAAAAATGTATGAGAATTGTACAAAGACAATGCTTATAAATCTGTCTCAGTTTCCACTCTATGTAAAAATCCATGTCATGGTTTTGTGGTTGTATACAGGTTGTATCTTGAGAATTAATGCAAGTTGTGTTATATAAAGGCTGCTCCCCCAGTCCAACAAATAAATACCGAAAACATCAACTCTATTGTTACGTATTATTGACACACTAAATGAAAACCTATTTTAAGATTGGTACAATAGAGAAAGGGCAGCTCTGAAGCCTACAGCCCTGTTTAGTTATCTTGGGTTCAAATTCTACCTTTAATGCTTATAACCTACATGGTCTTGCAGTCTTATTTTTCTTTCACCTATTCATTCACTGACCTCATTTTCAGAGTGGCTACTATGACCAAAACCTAGACCAGAGGTGGGGAACCTGCTCTACATGGTTAATCTAGGTTCAAATCCTACCTCAGAGGCTTACAAGCTATGTGGCTTTGACAAGTGTCTC